CATTCAAAATTTTTTTATTTACTGTATGCAGCTAATTTGACCGATCTATCTAAATCAATAACATAAAATTTTATTATAGATAAGTTTCCATATTATATACAATAACATTTTAATCTAGTTTGTAATATCTATAGCTAAAATCTTAGAGAGATTCAAAAGCTTAGTTCCAATAAAATACTCTATCACAAAAGCGAAGCATATTCTGAATAATTTAGGTTTTTGATCTTTGCTTGTGTCACATGCCATATGTAAAACATATATCATCATATGACACATGTTTCCAGGGTTATTTTAGCTAATTTTAGTTAGTTCCTAAATAAAAAAAATTTATTTCAGGTCTAGTTTTCTTCTAATTATTTTAGCAGGCAAATTTGCTTGCTAAACCAAGACGGTTTAAGGAGTAGTATATAAATAATATAAAATATAGATAAATATCTTAGTTCTTGCTAGTAGCAACTTACAAAGGATTTATATAGTGTTTAGTTTAAGTATTTAACTATTTTGTTAATTTTGTAAATAATATAGTGATGAAAATTTATATTATATTAGAAATTTTTTATATAAGATTTTAATTATATTACTTCTAAAATTAGGTTTTTGATTCAAAAGAATAATTTTAAATATTTTATATTTGTATACAATTTTAGTAAATATAAATTGTGCGAGTATAGTAATACTAGTATTTAATATAACTTGTATTTTTAGTCAACATATTAGATAATTCGTAATAACAATATATAGTTATTTGTTATATTGTAGATAATAATCAATTATTCATTAAAATATTTGCTATAAACAATAAGTTACAAATAAAAAGTTATTAGATATATTTTATATAATTATTGAATAACTTTTATTTAACTTATTTGATTATTTTCTGATACAAATATACTAGAGTTCTTATTCATTATCTGTTAATCTATTTATTTATTGGATATCCAGATCTGAATTTATTCGGATATCCATTTTACTATTGATATTCAAATAATTATTCAAATATTTGTCAGATTATCCGGATACCAATAGTAAATGAAAATCTGGATAAATTCAGGTATAAATAAGTGGATGACAGATTTATCTGGATTGGACCTCTAAAATATACAAATTTTTACTTATATAAAATTTTGTATTTTTTTTTAAAAGATAACTAAATAAGTTATATAAAATTATTCAAAAATTATATAAGATATATCTGTTAATTAGATTTAATAATAGGGTTTTGCTATTTGCACCATGATTTTTGCTATTTACATCATACAGATCACCTCAATTATATCATATTCTATTGTATCTAACCGTTTTGCTAAAATTTATCAGCATTTTTGAACCTCATTGAATAATAAGTTCTTATTATATTTAAGGTTATTCGTATATCATTAACCAATTTGCTGAAAATCTTCTATTTATTTTGAAGTTATTTGCATACTATTAACCGGTTTTCTGAAAATTTATTAGCAATTTGAATCATGAACTTGACTTGGTAGTAGGAATAAGATAAGCTAACAATCAAGCCAGCTATGGCTTTAGAACTTTAGCCATGGTTTGGAGCAAAGCCACTTCAAACTAGATAACTAGCTTGAGAAAATCACGTTAATCTGGCTTGATTGTTAGCTGATCCGTCTTTATATAGCTTAATAGTAGGTTAATCATAAAATTTACATGAAGAGTAAAAAAAAATTAAATTTTTTATAAAAAAAAAAGAAAAAACCTTACAGTCATAGCCTCAAAAAAATCCAATTCAGAGTGCGAATAATTTCTTAATATAGATTTTGCATAATGGTGGTTAGTAAATATGTGATAGTCTAGGAAAATATCAGTCTGGGAATTTGAGAATTCTTGACTGATAATTAGTTTTATTATGAATTATTTTGATAATCAGTTAGAGAATCCTCAAATTCTCAGCTGATATTTTCTAGACCACTGCTCAAATATAAAAAAAGCTCAAAACATAGCTGCCCAATTTATATTCGATTTAAAAATTAACTCTAACTCCTTTACAAATATATATTGTGATGGATACTGATGACCTTTTTGAAAATATTCCTGATAACAGTATGGCTAAATGTGTCACTACTACAAGCAATAGTGTGAATATCATATCTGATATTCCTATTGTTTCAAAAAGACCTAGCACTAAACTTCTCTCTCCTATTAGACCCTATTTTTCACAAAAAACTATTGATAATCAGTCAGTAATTTGCAGTATCTGTAAAAGTGAATTCAGCATAACTACAGCTACTAGTAACTTACATAAACACCTTGACTCTTAACATCTAGGCTGAAAAACAAACAAATCAATACCAATTCAACAAGTTCTTATATTTATGCCTGAAGCTACAATTTCATAACAAACTCTTACAATGGCTCAAAAAACTAAATTTAATATGTTAGTAGCTGAATAGATTATAACAAATACTCTACCTTTTTCAATTGTTTCAAGCCAATTATTTGCTACTATGATCCAATATCTCAATATTAGTATAGATTTGCCTTCATGTGATATTATTAAGTTTATCATTCAAAAAGCATTTGCTATAATACAAAAAGATATTTAGTCTCTTTTTGAACAAATTTCTGGTAAAATTTCTATTATGTAAGATATTTGGACCTCTCGCACTAATGTGCCTTTTATTTGTATCACAGCACATTGGATAGATAGTAACTGGAACCTTAAGAAAATCTTACTTGATATTTGTATGCTTGGTTATCTAATTATCCAGAGATTAAATACTAAACAAAGAAAACAAGTTTAATGGATGTCTGTTGCAGATTTCTGTTCATGCCAAATTTTACCAACTATCTAGCAAAATAATCCTTCCAGCTGACAATAAACAATAGCTTGCTAATGCAGTGATCAGAATTGGTAAACTTGTGTAAGAAATTGCAGAAGAGGTTGTAAATCTGTGTAATTGTTATTTATAGAATAGATAGGTTCAAAAAATTCTAGGCAATATTCTTGAATCTACCAGTATTCACTAAAATCGACTTTTTGCAATGTTTGACCAGTTGTTAACTGTTCTTTAATTATATATGAATATAAAATTCCTATTGTAGATTTTAGAATTCCTGTATATAGATTTAAAGGTGATTCTAGTATTGCATTTGACACCTTAATCAGTTTATTATGGACTTTTTTCAGGGCAAAAATAGACACATAGTATAGAAGTGGTTTAAACAAAGCAATTCAGTATATATGTGGTATTCTTATACATTTAGAAGAAATTATAGTATAGATTTCTCTGGCTTGATTCTTAACTTGTGATATAATTTTATGAAATACAGATTCAAGATCACCTGTGAAGGTTTGTAAATACCTAGAATAATTGTTTTTGAAAATAAATCGAAAATTAGATTTGAATTTTTTTTTTTTAAACCTAAATTATCAATTACTTGAGATATACAAAAACAATTATCTACCTTTTAAGAGTAGCGTATATACTCTTTACTCATAACATTACTTTGTTACTAAAATGTAGGTAACAGTCAATCCAGGCAGAAATAAAACAGTTCTTTAGGGTATCCAAGTTTTCTGAAGGTATTGCAAGATAGTGGGATGATTTTTATAGTATTTCAAAAACTTATTCCACTGA